TCTCCTTCTCAGCAGGCTGAGGGAAGGCTTTCAGAAACAGGCAGTGTTGTTGAATCTGCTCACGTTCCACAGTCAGATGGAGTTAGTGAGAACTTTCAGCATTCTTTGTTGTCATTTCTGTCTCTGTCCTCGAACCTTCAAAGGGACTTTGAAGTGACGACAGTTGACACAGCATCCTTCTTGTCACTTCCTCTGTTTTCTAAAGCTGCAACTGAATCTCAGATGTCAGGTGTTGATGGTGCACTGCTACCTGAATACCACTTAAACTCTGTTGAGAGTTCCTTTAATAGTAAATCAGAACCTTTCGGAGACTGTTTGCCCTCCCAAGAGGGTAATCAGCTCCTTGATGCCCAATCAGGTCCATTAGTTCATTCAATTAATCCAACTCCCTCTGGATTATCTGTGGGGAATTGGGTATCCAGTTCTGTGATACTCACACCAGATTTACCCCCGCAAATGCAGGCAGCTCTGTCACAGTTGGAGTTTTTAGACCCTCAGTTCAATTCGTCAGTGGTTTTATCGCCTTCCTCTAATGCAGCCAGTCTGTCAGTCAGGCAGTTCTCAGTTCATTCTGATCAGAGAGATTTGAGCGACATATATACTCTGCCAGTCAAGTCACGTCCACTTAATCAATCTAACATTGGCTTCACATCCTTGCCAACAACTAGCGTGTGGGCCTCTGAACGCACCCCGGCTCTGCTCCTGACAAATCTTGATAGAAGGCTAGGTTTGCACTCTGCTTCTTTGTCTGCCACTTCTTCCTCATCTTCACATCCCTCCCTTTCAACCTGCAGTCCTCTTTTCCATCACCGTGACAACCTGTTGCTGACTGTATCTCCAGAGACTCGTCCTGCTACCACAGTGATGCAAGTTGCTAGGGTGACAGAACAGATGGTGGGAGAGGACACTGCAGCGTCTTTTTCCACATTCTCCCCTAATCTGGTAGTTGAGGACCCTCTTCTCATGGCTCAGTCATCTTCATCTGGGTCACAAGACAGACTTACTACCATCCTGAACTTTAACAGAGATTCATGGAGGCTGCAGCATACAATCTCCCATTTACACACCGATAACCAGGTGAACACTAACTCCAGGGGCTCACAGGCACTCACTGGCTATGACAATGCATTTAATCACCCCATTTCCCCTTTGTCGAATCCATCTGTCATGGCACCGACCCAGACGCTGGCACTCCACAGCACCCTGAGTACACAGCCTGGCACTGCAACCCCCCAGCACGCTTCAGGCCTGGATAATACATACCACTCATGCTTGACACAAACTAACACTGAACACCCTGGCCATCTGATCCACACACATAGCTTAGCACACACACAGATGCTCACACACTTAGGCACTCAGGCACAATCAAACATGTTTTTAGATGCAAGTGAGACACAAGACATGATTCAAAGGCCAGGGCAGGATACACAAAATGTAGAGACACATGTTGATGTTGGGGGGCTGCAGCAGAAATCATCCCACTTTGTTTCTTTTGCCATTACTCCCTGTCTCCTTTTACCCTCTACTGTGCCTTCTCTCTCTCTTGCAGCAACCCTCACACCTCCTTTACCCTCTCTTCACCTTTCTCCTATCTTTTCTGCAGTCCCTCACTCTATATCTGTCTCATCCCTTCCCCTCACGTCTTCTCTCTCTCCTCTCCTCCCCAGCTGGGTGCCATTGGCAGCAGTGTCTGCCCACATGGCAGAGTCTCAAACTGGCTCCTTATCTCCCACTCCGGCGACTGCTGGCTTCCACCAGCCCACAACGACAACCCAATCCCCACTGGATAACCATTTACAGTCCTTCCAAAAATCCACCACATATCCTGTTAGCCAGTCAACACAGATAACCCAGCAGTTCATCACAGTCAGCCAATCATCTCTCTCATCATCTCATCCTCTTGACCAAACTTACACCCCCCCAGAGCTTGCAAACGACTCACAAACAGCGAGTGTCAATGATGCAGTATCCTCACTTGAGGCCTCAAATACTCAAACCACAGCTGGGGTACAGTTACATCTCTCTGCAGTATTTGACCCTGCAGATGTTGTTCCAAAAGTCCATATTGTGGATGAACATGCCTCTGCTTCAGCAGTGAACACCAATTACAGTGTTACTCTGGATGTAATGCTGAATGCTGCAACAGGACTTCAACCTAATGAAAGTCTAAATCCAGAAGTTTCCCTGAACACACAATCGTTTCCTGTTGAAATGCAAACTACAATTACCCACCCCACCTCTGAACCCAGTTATGAGCCTAGCTATGCACTATTAAGACAACCCACTGGTGCTCAAATTATTCAACCGCACACTTCTGACCTTAACGTCCCGTCTTCCACCCCAGACACAGGATCCCCCACTGGTTCCTCTATCGATGCCCCAGATCAAGGCTTCATTTCTGGGCTTGCAGAGCTCCCACCCCCTGTGAGTGACAACCTCACAGCAGGCTTAGAATACATCTTCAAGTCAAATCCAACCACTGTAATAACACTCAAGGACTCTGCCCCATTGCCTATTGAAATGACAAACCCCACAAAGGACAAAAATGCTGCAACTTTGATGGAAAATGGAAATATGGAAGCATCATCGGGCGATAAACCAACGCCAGGACTCAGTGTGAATGCAGGCACATCAGCAAAGTCAAATTTTAACCTTTCAAAGCCTGGTTTGAACTCAAATCCAAGTGTGTCAAATCACAGCGGGAATCATAGCTCAGGAGTATTTGTGAATGGGGCCACAAACAATGTCAAAGATGTCCACCTTTCCCCTACTCTACCTGTGGTCATCAGTGCTTACCATTTCATAACCACAAAGAACTCGTCTCCGACAACGCCAATGAAAGCAGTCGGTGCGTCAGCTAGCAGTGGCAGCAGCGGCGGACTTAAAAAGGCCACGGTTCGCCCAACCCGTGGATACCCAACTGCTAAACCCACGTTGCCATGCCAATGTAAACAGCGCTTTCATTTTACATGTCTGTGTGGACTGTCACCGGGGACCAGTATGTCATGCAGTAACAACAAACTGTAGATGTAGAGAATTAAAAAAAACAAAAAACAATCATCTGTAATGACAGAAGCATGCACTGTAATTTTTTTTTATTATAGTAACTTGTATTAAGTCTTAAAGCCTTCATTTATTTAAAACAGGTTAAAGTGTTTAACAAAATGTATTGAATCATGTCACATTATATTACCAAAAGTAAGTGGACACCCCTGTCCACAAAATATCCTCTAGAAAGCCCTTCCCTAAAGAGTTGAGGCTGTTGCAACAGCAGAATAATGCTCATAGTTTTTATTTTAAATTTTCAACTATCACATATGGCTTTAATATTCAAGTGTCCATAGACTCCGGGCCATATAGTGTGTTATAGCTTGATTCAAAACAAAAATCTTGAAGCCTGTTGAGAAGGTAAGGGTAATAGAAACCCTTCTGGCAGATAAAAAAAACTAAAGCAAGATTTTAAGACTGAATACATGATTAAATGACTTGTTAAGGTGGTCGGGTTTTGCAGTGTAGTAGTTGAATAGCTGTTTTTAATCATTTATTAGAGTCAGTACTTTTTCTTTTTGGCCGGTACTGTAGTGGTCCATATATGCATAGCTGTCAATCAGGTGAATGGGTTGGATACCTCAGGTATTGGAGGCTGGTGATTGGTTTGTGGTGATTCTGGTCTATGTGTCGGATATTAAAATGAAGTCTAGGTGTTCTGTCAGACTGTAGTATTTACCCTGTAGTTCAAACACAGGGGTTGTAGTCCACTATTCTTGGTCTGCCTCGCCATTTCTCTTCAGTTTTCTTTCTTCAATACCTCTTTACTTCTCTTTTTCTCTCATCTGTCTATCACTGTAAAGAGACTTCACTCTACCTCTGCCTCATTTTCTTTTTATCTACAAATCTACATCCACTCTTGACTTCTTTCTTTTCCTGTTCCTAATTGAGTTTTTCAATCCATCCATCTTCCTGGTTGAGACATCCTGCTCTGCTGCCTTTGCTCTCCCACAGTAAACAACAGACAACTCATCTCTGATATACAGACTGCTGTAAAGTCCAGTTGATGTTTGAAACAACCAGCTGCTCCCTAAACATCATGAAAAACATATCACTGAAGTTTTGCAACGTGCAGGGTCTCCCACCAGAACTGATGGAGTAGAGTTCTTCCAAACTGTTCAGTAGCATTTACTAACAATTTTAGGTACTGGACAGACACCTAGTGGCCAAAGTGAAGCATAGCAGGAGAGCTGAGAGCCCTAAATGTGCCTTATTCGGAAGGAAATGCCAAAAAGAGCTTCTGTTTTGGACATTTAAATGACTCTTAACACACTATGTGTCTGCTGTGAGAGAACCCACACTTTATTTGAGACATTTAAATGAAGAATTAAGGGAAAATATGTCTTATTAAAACTCAAATTAAATAATTAGACTAAACCCAAAATAAGTGTCTTAGGCCTTGTTTCTATTTTCTATTTTTGCATGTGCTTATTAATAATGATATTTTTGAGAATAGAATCATTTGTGTTCTCTATATGTTTTTAAAACATTTTTTTGTTTCCTAATATGTGTGATAAGTAAATGTGTGAGGTGTCAGACTGCAGACACACAGATGTGTTGAAAGTGTAAAATCTTCTTACAGATAAAAAAAAAAAGAGTTAAAGACACAGTGGAAAGACGCCTGCAGCAACATATTCTCCTGCAGCTTTTTCTGATTCCCTGACACATTCGAAATGATCCCATTCACCAAGAAGAGAAGTCGTAATGACTGCCCTCCCTTCCTCTCTGCTGTTGTTATCTGTCAGGCAGCACATTCCTCCTCCTCATTTGACACTGTAAGATTGGATTTTTACATAACTTGATTAGCTTCAACCACTCGATTCATCTCCTGCTATGTGGCACAGGCACAAAAAAAAGCTCCATTATATGTGTGAAATAGCCTGTGGTGGATTGAGACTGAAGTACTATTTTCTATTTCTCTCTTCCTTTCCTCTCACCTTCATTTGCAGAGAAGTTGTTCTACCGGATTTCTTTTGTGGTGAATGCCACGGGCACGACGCCAGCCCAGAGTGATGTAAAGCGAGCTGTGGACCTCTGGGTAAGAAGAGTCCAGCTTTATGTTGCCAAAGCTAAACTTTACAATAGTTGTACTGATAATGCAAATGCAAATTCAACCTTTGGTGGCCCCCAGAGCAGCAGTGGTAGGTCTGGTGCAGTAGGAGGAAGTAAAGCGTACCTGCTGCTGATAAAAAGAGGCATGGACCCCTATTGTCCCCTTGTTTAAGGTATAATTAACATATTTAGGAATATGCATAAATCAATTACAACAGATGTAGACAAGAGAAGTAAAAATACAGGAAATGATTATCTGAATATCTGTTTTAGTGCAAATTCACTAATTGAAAATAATCAGACACGATAAATCTCTGTCTTTGGGCCCCTGAGGGATCCGCAGCCCCGGGCAGTCCCCAGCTCTGTGTAGCTGATAACGAAGCTTTGCTCAAGCAGCAAATGTTCCACTCCTTCCACTCCAGCAATTTACAGAGTCATTGATTATGGGACTTGAGAAGGAGCAAGTGTGATCAATAAACCAGCTGATTCTGTTCATCATGAAGAGGAAGTCGTTAGTCGTTAAGTCGTTACTCATCGCAAAAGCAGTTTCATTTGGGTGAAGATGCATGCAGGTCTGAAAAAGACACAAGCAGAATCTTGTTTCACTGGTTTGAGTGATTGATTAGATTTTTTTTTCTTCTTACAGATGAATCAGACACTTCAGAACTGGACGCACGCAGTCTTCGCTCACAACATCAGGTAATTCAGAAAAAACGTTTATTGGCAAGAGATGAAAAATTGCATGAAGGAGCTTTTTGTATGACAACCTTTCTTTAGAGTTTCTGACAACGTATAACCCGGGTTGAAATCTGTTTTTGCTAATAATTTTACTCCTTGTTGCTGGTTATTTTGACCTTCGAGGAGGTGTGTAAAATCAATTTGAATACTCATGGCTTCATCAGTTTAAAGCACTCTGTCTGACACGTGTTAAATCCTCCACAGCTTCTATAAGGACCAGTTGAAATTTCACATAACATCAATAGAACTTATTTTATTCAAAAACAGATAACACAGTATGTGTCCAAATTCTGGTATATGTTAATGTCATTTTGTACTAAGGGGCAGCAGAAGTCTGAACTTAATGCTTCTTTACCCCCCAGTATACATACAGCACTTTGTATGTGCAGTATATCTCTTCCAAACCAATTTCTTTTAAATGAATCGTCACAGCTGTTCTCTCACCTCTTTAACCTTTCCTCTCTTCAGTCTCCAGCTCGAATTATACATCGAAAATCACCTGACAAGGTAACCTGTGGGGTTTTATGTCATTTTGTATCAGTTGTATTGAAGTTGTTATGTTGAGTCTTTTTGGTTGGTTTCTATCTCAAAGTGTTTTTTGAACGTGATTGATGATCAGATCATTGTTATAATCCTTTCATATTTTTGAGGCTGTGCTTTCAGCTGCTTATTTCAGGTTTGCTTTAACTCCAGTTATTCAGGTCTGGCCCTGCTGGTTTATAATTACATCGCCAGTGAGAGTCTGAGTGAAGCTGCTGTGTCTGCCAGGCTGCACAGCAAAGCAGGACCGATGGGTGTTGGACTGCAAATTGCCATCATGACTGTCAAATTAGTTGGTAAGGAAGTATGCTATTCACTTCAGAGGAAAAGGAAGTCGAGAGAAAATTTGTTGGTAGCAAAATTTACATTATATTTATGGCTTAGTCAAAACTGATCTTAAGTTTTAGCCAACTGAAATATTTCAACAACTATTGGACCGATTGCCATGAATCTGAATGCAGATGATGCATCTTAGTGACTTTACTGATCTGCTGACTTTTCCACGATGAGGTTGACAATTTTCATTGTGAGTGAAATGTCTCGAAAACTATTAGATGGATCACCATGAAAATGGATTTAGACGTTCATGTTCCCTTCAGGATGAACTCTTATCACATTGGTGATCCTTTAACTTTTCATCTAGCAACACCATCAGGTTAAAGTTTTATTTCATGCAATACATTTTATATTTATGACAAACGACCTAACATGACAGGTGCTTTTATTCATCTGAGCTTTTTGTTACTTACTGCTAAGTAGCAAATGTCAGCATGCTAACATGCTAAACTAAGATGGTTGATATACATGCTAAATAGCAGCATGTTTAGTTAATTTACTCATGTGAAAGGAAGACTGTGTAAGACAGTGTTTCTGTTGTGTGCTAACATTATCACAATTAATTTTTCTGTATCTTTCAGGAGTTTTCTTATTTGATTACCTTTGTTGATTTTGTGCCGTTTCTCCTCAGTCTTTAGTTTTCTCATCCATGGATTTCTTCCGTCCAATCTTGTGCTGTCTGTCATCTTGTCTGTCTTTCTTTGTCTTTTGTATGTGTACATCTTTAACAGCTCCCTGAAGTTTGTTTGGCCCTGTTGTCCAGTTTCAGGATTTCACTTTTTTTTTTCTTTATGTTAATCATAAAATACCGAACGGAACTCCTGTTTCGCCTCCCAACAGAAAACTGTCCAAAGGAGGATCTTCTTTCCTACCAGTGGCCTGAGACCAGACCCACCGTCACCCAGTACCTGCCCTGCTTCCCCTACAAGGAGAAGAGCGTGTCAAGGACCTGGTAACACACACACACACACACACACACACACACTCTCTCACACACACACACACACACACACACACACACACACACACACACACACACACACACAAAATGTAAAACATGCTCACATATATGCATTGGTATAGTACTAAATTAAGGTTCCTGTATAACAACATAACAAGTTTTTGGTACTAAACGGAACCTTTTCAGAAGACACTCATATAAACCAGTTTTAAGTTTCATGCAGGATGGAGTTTATTTGAACATTTTAGCAGCATAGCTCCATGGAAGGCAATATTGGTCAACAACTGTTGAATGGATAGTCATAAATATTGTACATACATTCATGCTCCCCAGAGGATGAATCCTACTGACTTTGGTGATCCTCTGACTTTTCTTCTAGTGTTACCAGCAGGTCAAAACCTCCACTTAAATATTGCAATCTATCAGATGGATTCACACCAAATTTTGTACATTCATTCATGATTCCCAGAGGATGGGCCCTAATGACTTTGGTTATCCTCTGACTTTTCATCTAGTGATGATCAAGTGGTCAAGTTTCTGAAAGTTAATGTTTAATGTCTTTGTAATTTAATTTTTAGAGTTACTGATGTGATGGAAATCGCCTTGAATTAAAAAACAAGAAATAGTTTGACATTTTTTAACTCACTGTTTCTTTCACTTTCTTTCCTTGGACAATACTTTGACTTGTCATGTTTAAACCTTTGTGGTTAAAAAAAAGAGGTCTTTTAAAGATTCAGATTTTACTAAATTTACTGAGTTTTCTTTGAGGCACTGTGTTTCAATGAAGAGCCGTTACTCAAGAATGCACAAAATATCCCTGAGCGTCAATCTACAAAGTCATTTGAAGAAACTCAACAGTAAGAACTTCAGAAAAATTCTCCTCCCCTCTTTGTTAGAAGGTGAAACACAATTTCAGTCAGGATCATTTCCAGAACAAAACCCTTGAAATCTAATTTGCTGAGCTTTTGCCTCTGAACTCCCAGGAGCAGTGTGACACAGTGAGGTAACTCTGCATTAATCACTGTTAGTCAAGCAGTGGCTCAGTTTGCTCACACCGTGAACCAACAGGAAGCCAATTTCGCCACTGAGAGAAAACACTGCAGTGTTTTAAGAGAAGTCGTCCTAGTGGAGACTCTATTGTGCAGCACCATCCACAGAGTCCTAATTTGGAAGATGCTGCATGAATACAAACTAAATCTCATCTCATCGTTGCTGGTATTTGTTGGGTAAGCTCCATTCAGCGGATGTCAACATCACATGAGACAGTAGCAACCATGGCCATCACAGCAGACAGCACTCACAGATGCCACCAGACAATATTCATAGATTATATTTTCAAATTTGGCAGAGGAGATGGAAGCATAGGCTCTGACATGGTTAGAGGGAAGAGTCCTTTTGAAAGTGGGCTGTTTTGGCTGGCAGGGACTGTAGCGGGGTGGGTGCTGCATTTTTTTGCATGTGTGACTCTCCAGGCTACCGTACCAGACAGTTATAGATGAGGTGAGTGTACTCTCTCTCTGATGGCCGAGCAGAACTGGAGGAGGAGGCTTGTTTGACTTTGAATTTTTGATGGTTATGGCTTCTCCTGAGTTAGGGAGGGGGCTGTGCCTGAAATCTATAATGCGTTTTTGTCAGAATTACAGGCAATATGCTTCTCTCTCAATGCACTATCTTGTCACAGAGATTTTTTTTAATCTAAATGGGACTTCCTGTTAAAATAAAGGAAAAAAATACATTGTCACATGTAGGACCAACATTACACACAATAATATCAGGAAATATAATAATATCTAAAAGCATGTCTCCCTCTCTCTTCCATAGTCTGATCAGTCCACAGAACTACTCATCCTACTGGTCACGTCCAGACAACGAAAGCTGCCTGAGCATCGACAACATCGAGGTAACAGCAGGTACGTTCAGCCACCAGCCAATCAGCTACTGAGACAGAACCAGGTGGATACAAAATGGTGGCAGATACTGAACATGAACAAATGGATATAAAGGTTTAAAGGGTCAAAGGTCATGTAGAAGATAAGCTAATACATAAATACACACTGAACAAACAGTACAGACAGATAAATGTAAATATGTAAATGGATTGGTTTTGTGTGTTCGTTGTGCAGAAAATGCAGCTGCGGTGGCGGGACAGCTCGCCAGCATCAGCGACAGCAAGCTCAGCGATGTCCTGGTGGGAGTCCCAACTTCTCTGTTTTGACTGAACACACTGTGGACAAGCTCTGCTCTGTGCTGGGAGCATGTAAAGGAGAATAAACAGCCTCCTCTTCCTCTTCCTCTCGTCTCTCCGCAGGTGTCCCAAGTGGTGACGAAGGTGCAGGAGCTGGTGAACGTGGCCAAGATCAACAGCTCGTTAGCCAAAGTTGTCGTCACCATCATCTCCAACGTCATGAACAGCTCGGAGACGGCGCTGGCAACCTCATCAGAGAAGTACGATCACGAACTTAATTAACGTCTTTACGTCTCTTCTTTACTGCACCTTACTCTGCTTATTCTCTCTACTCTGCTCTGCTCTGCTCTGCTCTGCTCTACTCTACTCTGCTCTACTCTACTCTACTCTAATCTGCTTTGCTCTGCTCTACTCTGCTCTGCTCTGCTCTGCTCTGCTCTACTCTACTCTGCTCTACTCTACTCTACTCTAATCTGCTTTGCTCTGCTCTACTCTACTCTGCTCTGCTCTACTCTATTCTGCTCTGCTCTACTCTGCTCTTTTCTACTCTGCTCTGCTCTACTGTACTCTAATCTGCTCTGCTCTACTCTACTCTAATCTGCTTTGCTCTGCTCTACTCTACTCTGCTCTGCTCTACTCTACTCTGCTCTGCTCTACTCTGCTCTGCTCTACTCTACTCTACTCTACTCTACTCTGCTCTACTCTGCTCTTTTCTACTCTGCTCTGCTCTACTCTGCTCTGTTCTACTCTGCTCTGCTCTACTCTACTCTAATCTGCTTTGCTCTGCTCTACTCTACTCTGCTCTGCTCTACTCTATTCTGCTCTGCTCTACTCTGCTCCACTCTACTCTGCTCTTTTCTACTCTGCTCTGCTCTGCTCTACTCTGCTCTTTTCTACTCTACTCTACTCTACTCTACTCTACTCTACTCTACTCTACTCTACTCTACTCTGCTCTGCTCTACTCTACTCTAATCTGCTCTGCTCTGCACTGCTCTAGTGTAGTCTACATTTTCTTGTGCATCTGTACAGTACTATACTTTCCTCTACTGTACTCTACTGTGTTCTCTTTCCACTGCTGGTAAATGGTAAATGGACTACACTTATCGAACACTCAAAGCATTTTACAGTGGAAGCCACATCACACATTCATACACACATATAGGGCTTTTCTGTCATAGCATAGTCACGCATAGTCACATACCGATGATACATGAGGTCCAGTATATTGTCCAAGGACAAACCACCGACCTTCCGATTAGTGGACGACCCACTCTACCTCCTGAGCCCATACTGTGCTGTACCTCACTCTGTTCTTTCTACTCCTTTCTTCTCTGCTCTATTTTTTTCATACTTTGCTCTACTGAGCTCTACTACTCATCCACTTTGTATGATTGTTACTCTACTGTACTTTATCGCATCATGCTCATACATACCAGGCTCTACTGTGCTCTACCTCTGCCACACTGTTCTTAGCTGTACTGTGCTGTGCTCTGCCCCACTGACCTCTACTCTATCTCTACTACACTCTACTGTAATCCCCCTACTGTAGTGTATTCTTCTTTACTCCACTGGAGCCTACTCTACCTCTACTGTGAAGTTCTTAACTCTGCCTCTGCTGTACTGTACTTTACTGTACTCTACTGCACTGTATTGCACTTAACTCCACTCTGCTTCACTCTGCTCCATCTCTACTTTAATCTTCTGTCTTTTACTCCACTCTGCTGTTCTACCTCTCCTGTATTGCACTGCTCTGTACTTTAATCTGCTCTATCTCTGTACTGTACATTTTTTTCACCGTACCTGGTCCTGTTCTCTACTGTATTCCACCTGTCCTATACCATACCATCTTATTTTATACTACTACTACTACTTCTACTATTACTAATACTAATACTAATACTAATAATAAGACATTATTTGTATAGCACTTTTCAATACTAGTAACAAAGTGCTTCACAAGTCAAATATAAAACATCCACACAAATCAAAGTAAAATGTAAATGAAAAGACATCACACAATAAAAACCTTTTTTTATATGAATATGTCTTAAGAAGTGAAGAAGATAAAATGGGGGGCTGAGGTTGTTCCAAAGTTTAGGGTCCTGACAGCAAATGCCCCGTCTCCTTTGGTTTTCAACCTAGACCTTGGAATGGCCTGCAATGCACTACCACAGGGTCTCAGCCCTCACTCGTAGGGGGAGAAAAGCTCAGAAATATACGGAGGCAAAGAAATGAAAAGAATTTGAATCTTTATCTATCTCCACAGTGCAGAAAAGTCGGTGTAGAGTGTAGTGTAGATTACAGTCACTGCAGTGTATTTCAGTGTTGCATGTTTATATGTTTTATGTCACATCTGTTACACAGCTTGTACTGTTATGCTACAGGACTTTATCAGTCATTAAAATGTGCTGAAATGTAATTTGTGGATTTATTATAAAGTATGTTAGGATATGTATTTTGGATTTAACGCTACTAAAAGAAATGCTGCATGGCATCATTTAATTAATGATGTTGTTGAGGATTAATGAGGATGTTGTATTTTCTAATTCTTCACTGGTAATATAGTTTTTCCCCCTCTAAGATGATTTAGGACATACGTCTGCTGAGTTTTTTTTTTTCAATCCAGTCCTGACTTTTCTGTCTCCCTCTCTCAGAGCTCTGAAGACGGTGGATGAGCTGGTTCACAAGATTGAGTTTGATGGTCCATCCATCAAAATCACCTCCAAAAACCTGGCTTTGGGGATACTGGCCAACAATGCCACCATGTTCAACGGGGCGTCCTTCAGCGCCTTCATTCCAAACAACGACACTCCACAGGTGACGCCCAGAGCCATCAAAACTTCCTCTTCTGAAGGGATTTACTGACTTGTCATGGAGGTTTATTTTGAAGACAATCTGAACAAACTAAAAAAGGTTTCTAAAAAGTTCTGAAATCTCTTTGAATTTAGTTTGAGTCTTGATTGTCTCCTTTCCTCTCCTCTCCTCTCCTCTTCTCTCCTCTCTCAGATTGATTTTGAATCAGAGACACTTCACCCATTAGCTCAGGTCACCCTCCCGTCCTCTCTGCTGTCCAATGTCTCTCTGAGCGAGACTGACAGATCGTCTCTGTCCAGGATCAACTTCATGTTCTTCAGCAGCACCAACCTCTTCCAGGTCAGTCCGCTCTGCCTCTGATCACCTGTGCTAACATTGAGAAACTCCCTCATGAAGTTGTTCACAGATTTTGTTGGGATTTTATTTTCCAGAAACAGCAGAACAATCTAAGTTTGAACAGCTACGTAGTGGCCAGCAGTGTGGGGAACTTCTCCATCAGTGACCTGGCAGATCCAGTGAAGATTGAGATTGCTCACCTCACTGCACAGGTACAGAGTTTTGAGGGTCTGCTTTGCCCTGAGCTTCATTTGTCAGATATAGTGTCATAGAAGCAGCATGAGTGAGAGTCAGGTATTAAACATGGGATCATTTTAGACTTGGGTTGTGTCTGTTGTGCTGGTCCTGTTTGTTGTGAGAACTTTAATTGAAACAAAACTGAGTCAGTTACTATGTGACTGTGTCTGCTGAACCTCATGCTATATCACTGCTCTTCTTTTCCTGGCAGCCCTCCAAGACTCCATTCTGCATGTTCTGGGACTTCAGCATGAAAAGTAAGTCTGTCGTCACATCACCCTACACATTTCAAGTTCAGTACAGGTTCTTGGGTCTGCAGGGAGCCGTTCACCTCTTTACACGAAACTATATATCTCAAGTGTCTGGAGAAAAAAACATCCCATCTGTTAAAGCTTCATCCAAGTTGCTCTTTATCAACTCTGCCTCATCTACTGGGATTCTCAAGGTCGTAATAACCTTCTTTGTGTATTTGTCAGTGGTTGGGCCATGTGTACATGCAGATAAATCTCTCTGCTCACCACTGAACCAAAAGGTTCCCAGGATATATATTTACAGTAAAATAACAATTCCGAGGTAGAAAGTCAGGATGAATTTCCACGTCCAAAGTGTTTATGAAATGAATAAAAGCATTCGCAATCAAGACAAAACAAATTAAGTTATGATGCTGAATAATAAAAGTAGATCCTGACTTATTTGTGCTGTTACTCACTTAAAAAAAAAATCTTCAATAACCCAGGCATCATTTTCATGAAAGCTCTAAATGTTAGCGGCATATACTGTATGTGATGTAATACCTCTGTATTGCCACTAGATGGGTCTGGAGACTGGAACGGAAAAGGCTGCAGAGTGTCCAATGAATCCACCAGCAACAAAACCATCTGTCTGTGCAACCACCTGACACACTTTGGCATCCTCATGGTGAGACTCGGCTGTGAGACAGTTTCTGTTTGTGTGTGAAATTAAAAATATAAAAGCTACCTCACAGGTTTTCTCAGTTGTTCTCCTGACACTTCTGCCTGTTGTCTTCTAAAGCTCTAAATGCAGCAATTAAGAACTTATGATGCATTTACTGAACTCATTGACTTCCGGTTCTTTTCATGCACCTGTTACTTAGAAATCTGTATGTTCTGCAGAACATTTATGGAGAATATTACAGTAGGTGTGATGTGGCCTGATACACATATGGATGAGTGAACAGACTGCCTGAAATATTAGTTACAATAATGAGAGAAAAGTAGAACAGCACCTTTCAAAACCTGGGTTACAAGGTGCTGTGGAGTGGAAACATTTAAGAAAATACATAGTTAAAAAAGGGGGAAAGTCAGCATTTTTATGACTATAGGAAGGCGGTTCCAAAGGGTGGGGGCAACGGTCACCGTTGATTTTAAAAGTGATTTTTTTTTTGTTTGTTTGTTGGTTTGGTTCTTGTTCTCTTTTTTTCTTTTAACCTCTGTTCTGCTTGGTATCCCTGCATGTCTGACTCCAGGACATATCTGGAGTTTCGCATCACATAGATTCAAAGAACAACAGGATTCTGACCTTCATCACTTACATCGGCTGCGGCATCTCCGCCATCTTCTCTGCTGCCACGCTGCTCACCTACATCGCCTTTGAGTGAGTCCGGTGCTGTTCAGTCTGGGCACATTAGTTTACCATTACATCTTATAGGATGGGGCTATAATCAATATTGTTTTTATAATAACAAGCCAGATATTTCCCTTAGTAGGTGGTGGAGACTGCCTGGCTTTAAACAAGTCACAGTGGTGTATCCTGGCAACTTTATATCTTTCTTCATGATGGGATTTATTATAGGACTGACACAGTAGGTAGTGAGACTGAACAAAAGCGATCTTTTGCTAAATAGGATAATAAGCATTTAATTAATATATAGATGCATGTATGTCTATATTTTACTTTGCTCATAAAGCTCCACAGGAAGCCTTTAGCTGTGAAGTTCAACCCTCAGATCTCTGGGAACAGCCTGGGTGGTGCGGGTGGGTGGCTGTGACCGCAGTAAATGAAAGTTGTCAACAAAATCAGATTTCAACCACATGCCACATCTTTTTTTTTTTCTTTCTCTTTCGTTTTATAACCACAGAAAACTTCGACGTGACTACCCGTCTAAGATCCTGATGAACCTCAGCGCGTCCTTACTCTTCCTGAACATGGTCTTCCTACTGGACGGCTGGCTGGCCAGTCTGAAAACCGATTGGCTGTGCATGTCCGTGGCCATCTTCCTGCACTACTTCCTGCTGACCTCCTTCACCTGGATGGGGTTGGAGTCCATCCACATGTACATCGCCCTGGTCAAGGTCTTCAACACCTATATACGCCGATACATCCTCAAGTTCTGCATCGTCGGATGGGGTGAGGGGCTGATTGTTTTAGCTTAAACACTAATGCCAACACTGTATCTGTTTATTATAAAACAATTTCATATTGTTTATTTAATCCAGAAGGTTGAAGTTATTGGTCAGAGCAAGGCACAGTTTAGTATGGGGCATCCTGCTAAAGCAATGGTTCTCAAACGTTTTCACATCAAAGACTTGAACCGACACAAATTAGACCACGGACCTCCATCTTATAAGATTTTTGCTTTTATTTTTATTATTATTTTCGTTTGAAACCCTTGACCAAGTCATATATTCTGTCATCGTGTCCCCGGACATCACTTTGAGGACCACTGTGCTAAAGAACTGACCTCACAGTCAGTGTTCTAGGTCAAAGTTTTCATATTAACACTTATGTGTAGAGACTGATTTATATGAAAAATCATTCAGATTGTTACGAAGCAGCACATGAGACAGGCCGAGAGATGAGAAAACAGAACCATTTCAATGAAATGAAAAATATATAATATCAATAAAAAAAGGAAAGGAAAACATCAATTAAAAGAGAAACAGATAAACAGATAATAACTGAGACATAGTTTCTAAATCATCTGAACTTTTCTTTCCATACTGCAAGTTCTTATCACTTCTCAGCCAATGTATCTGTGATGAGCTGATTTATACGTTTTAATATACATTGAGTATTAGCAACACATTAGCATCAGAAATCCATAAACTCCACAGTTTTCACTAAATCAGCTGCAAAAAAAAAAAAATTTGAATCCCTCAAATTTAAGTTTTACGAGACGGATTAAACTCACATACAAAATGCAGTTTTTGTGTCTTCTTTGATTCGAGCACTGGCTGTGCCAAGACACAGGACTTCTTCCAATCTGGTAACATTGCACTCTGGTGCCCTCTTGTGGCAGTGAGAGACACCTGTAAAACTGCACACTCCTGGGAGAACATGTATTCTCAGGTTAGGTTGAGTGATTTATTATTTTTGACCAGTAGAAGTGGGCTTGTTAGTAACAGTTAGGTTTTTGTTTTTATCTGTTTCTGTCTGTGATGTTGAGCTTTATTCGTAGGCCAGCCTGGACCAAGGTTTCTGTGCCACTGCCAACTTGGAAGTAGAAATGATTTTATTCTGATGATTCACATAAATGCGATAGTTAGCAGTGTCCATAAATGGCTTGGCAGCAACAAATAATCAAGAGAGGAAGACATGGGAACTGTGATGCTGATCTGTCGACTGTGTGATTTGTTCCAGGTCTCCCTGCGGTGTTGTTGGGGATTGTTGTTGCAGTGGATAAAAACTCTTATGGGTCAATAGAGTACGGCAGAGGAGGGTCAGGAGAGGGATCCTCAGTGCTGTGAGTCTCCACAGTAATACAATAATAAGTCAGACTCAATACAGTCAAGTCAGAATTATTTGTAGCATGTTCTTTTTTCTTAAGGAAAGCATACTTGTCTTAACAATAAATGGTAATAATACACCACAGGACCCAACACAGATGTTGTGGATACAGGATGTATTTAATGTGCAGTCAACATCATCACAGGATGAAATTTCATCATAATGTGAAAAGCTGATATTTCTGGCTACAACCAATATACACACATCGCATTCCAGGAACACTTTCTATTCAAATGCATATTAAAGTAGAATGGCACTCAGTGCATACCTCCACCAAGGTCAAGGAATTTTCTCCCACCAGATCCAGATCATTATCTGCATGTGTGTTTAATTGTACAACGTCTTAGATCTCAACACCATAAATATGTCTGACTTTTCAGACTTGGCTGGCTGTAGCTGGGTAAAACTTAAAGTTATGCTTACATACATAATACTTTGTTGCACTGCTTTGCACAACTTGTTAAATCCATAGTTTTTGGTTCTAATAACTTATGCGTTTTGTGCATATTTGTATTAGAGAAAAGGAAGTAAATGATACAACCTTTTTATGCATTTTATACAGATATCTTGGTCCAAAAGCTGTTTTGGTGACCGTAAAGATAATAGTGGGTTTTTTTGACATTTATATAATAAATGAGCCTCAGGCTTTTTCTCCAACCAATTTAAGATTTAAATAGTTTGTAAATTATTTTGATTACATTTAACAAACTATAGTGACACACTAAGGTTATTACAAAAACCTTTTCCTGCACCCATTCTATTAGGTTGTTAATTAGCAATATTTTACCTTTGGGTAAAGCAAATAATTGGATAATTGGAAATTGAAAAATTGGAAAATTTAAGTTGATTTGCATTAATGGAAACTGTTGCAAAGGTAAACCTATTAAGTACATGTGACCTAAAGCAACTGTGTTAATCTACCTAGTTAAAACTTAATTGAATTGTGTGTCACCAACTGAGGCAATATTTTTAAGTTGGTCCAACAATTTTCTTTTGGTTTGGTTTCAAATTTTTTTTTCAAATTTTCAAATCTTTCACTAAGTAAAATATAGTGGGAAGATACTAAACCACTTTGTTGTAGTGTATTTTTTGGCTTTAAAATAACTCAAGAGTGTTTCTAAAAAACATCAGCCTGCAACAAAAAAATCTTCAGGGACGTAATTTGTTTGAAATTGTAAAATATAAACTCCTCCCAGAAGCATTAGCACGGACATAACCTTAGTATCCCTGGAGTTGACCTGTAACCTTTAAAAATATTAGTATACTGAAGTCGAAGTGCTTCTGAAAATCTCTCTCATGGAGAGGCTGCAGGGAGCTTGCTAGCGACTAGCAGTTGTCAACTATTTAAATACATGATTTATCATTTAGTTCTTTGCAAGCAAAAGACCCAAATATTCTCAGCTCCCAGCTCCAGATATGTGATGGTTTGGGTTTGATTTGCTCTGGTTTATCTCCCAGTGAGCTGAATATTGTGTGATTTAATCAAGGAAATACTTCGCAGATTAATCAGTGATGAAAATAATTGTTAGTCGCAGCCCTATGTCTTCCTCAGCCATTTTGATTTTTGCGTGTGTGTGTGTGCGCGCGCGTGCGTGTGTGTGTGTGTGTGTGTCCTCTCTCTTCCCTCAGCTGTTGGATCAAGAATAAGGCCGTCTTCTACAGCACCTGCGTCGGTTACTTCTGTCTGGTGTTTCTGCTCAACGTGGCCATGTTCATCGTGGTGATGATGCAGATCTGCGGCCGCAACGGCAAACGCAGCAACCGCACACTGCGAGAGGAGGTGTGCAACCGAGCTCAGCGGATCACGTGAAAGTAGTTCGACATTTCTGAATGTTTAATGTTTAATGTTCTGTTGTGATCCAGGTTCTGCGGAACCTGCGGAGCGTCATCAGCCTCACCTTCCTGCTGGGTATGACGTGGGGCTTCGCTCTGTTCGCCTCGGGACCCGTCGCCCTGGCCTTCATGTACCTCTTTACCATCTTCAACTCACTGCAAGGTACAGTAACATCCCGGTGACTAAATGACACACTGGATCTCAAAATCCTTTGTTCTTAAGTGACGTATTCAAGTGATTTAGGAGAATGCAAAAGTTCCTGCGGCCTGAACAAGTGGTGCAGCTCCGTCTGAGTCATGTTCACATGCCTCTCTCTGCAGGGGGAAAACACTTGTTTGAGGTTCTACAACTGCTTTTTATTTTATTGGCACAAGTATTTTGCCTTGACAGCTTTTCCACCTCAGTGTTTCTTGAGGAAATTCTTTCGCTCCGACAGCCTCAGGGTTTTTGTCCAGGTGACACATGGGATTAATCACCTCAAACTGTGAACCTGGCTAACATGTTCCATGTTCCATGTTCCTTTGGTTTTTAGGAACTTTTGTTTCATTTAGCACCCAGATCAGTACAGTGAATCATTTATACGTGTATTTAATGTGATGTGTATGTAAAAAATGGTAATTGTGATACCTATGATAAGACATAAACACAACAAAAACCTCTCACCCTTCTTTGGACTTTCTCCAGGTCTCTTCATATTCATCTTCCACTGCGCCTTGAAAGAAAATGTCCAGAAGCAGTGGAGGAGATACCTCTGCTGCGGCCGATTCAGGCTGTCAGACAACTCAGGTATACATCTGTCTACCTGTCTGTCCCTCTGTTCTCTCTCTGTTTGTTTATCTCAGGTTGATCCCCTAGGGTTCACAACAGGACAATAAAGCTAATTCACATCTCTCCACAGGAGTCCTGTCAAATCCTTCTGCTGGACTCCTGCCAGATCCCAGCAGCAGAAAAAAACACAAGGATATTTTATTAAAATATTAAACCTAAGTCTTCGGCTTTGCAGCTAATAAAAAAAAGATAAAACAGAGGTTTCAGGAAGACCAGGAGGTCCTCCAGGTGTACTTAGTCTGTGGATGTCCTGTACTGCTGCCATTTCATTTGTAAGAAGGTAGATGAGTCTGTGTAGTTCCTCCATGTATACGACTGTTTTCATTCCAAAGATTCCAAGTTAATTGTTGTGTAAAACCCAGTAAAATGGTATTTAGCAGCAGAATTCCTCCTTTAAACCAGGATCATAAAAAGAGGAAAACACAAAGTTCATGTACCCATTCATTCATGTGCGTTTTATGCAGGTAGATTTTTACTGAAGCTCATATATGAAGCATTAAGTAACCAGTGGTCAGTATGGGACGTGAGCTAAAAACAAACTGCAGTAAAATTACACACATTTTAGTTTTGTTTTCATCGGTGAAATGCCTCATATGTGCATTTTTATTTTCATCCGTGGACAGCAATGTTGGTCATTCAGTCGACTTTCCAGACTGAATTGTCTTTTATTATTACCGATCCTCTGACTTTTCCTCTAGCGCCACCATGAAGTCGACTCTTGTGCTTCCTCATCTATTGTTTGAATCGCCATAAAAATTTGGTCCAGATATTCGTGTTTAAATCAGGATGAACTGAAACAACTTTTTGACCAAATACCTGCAGAAACTAATGACAATTCCCATCAGCCTCAGCTGCTCTCAAGTTTTTCCTGCTAATTGGCAAATGTTAGCATGCTAACATTCTAAAGTAAGATGATGAACATTGCATCTGCTTTATAGCTTCTTAGCAGCTGTTCTTTGTCTTTCCTGATAATTAGCTAATGTTAGCATATTAAAGCTAGATGATGAAAACATTACATCTGCTTAAGCATTGTCATTGGGAGGGTGTTAGCGCTCTGTTGATAGCATTTAGCTCAAAGCACCACCATCGCTGTGTCTAAGTTCAGCCTCACAGAGCTGCTAGCATTGCTGCAGACTCATAGTCTTGTTTACATGCTAATTTCAAGTTGTATATTAAGTTAGTGAACTCTCTCTCTGAAGGAGACATTGCACTGCACTGGAGCAGCAGCAACACAAGAGGTGATGCCTGACTTATTTAACCTGCAAAATAACGTGATACATGCCAACAGTGCATTTCTAAAAGAACATAATGAGCTGACTCTTGATGTTAATGTTCACTTTTTAACTGTAATCTTTGTGTTTGAGACCCAAAAATGTCCTGAATCTGCAGTAAATGCACATGAAACCGAGTCCTGATTTCTCAGGGCCATCAGGTTGCAGACAGCGGCAGCGAAATAAATGCATGCACATCTGTTCCATATTACTGATGTCTGTTGTGTAATTGTCCATGACAACATCCCATGGTGAAAAAGGAAGGAAGGAAGGAAGGGAAGGGAAGAGAAGGGAGATTCCTGGACAAGATGGAGGAAGGTCAAAGACGTAGGGACAAAGGTTGAAAGAATGACACTGAGGGTGGGAGTCAGCATCGCGATCAGGTGGTGTAGGTGATCAGTCAGGAGGTACCGATTGATCGTTATGTTTGTTTATCTTCTTGCAGACTGGAGTAAGACGGCCACCAACAACACCAAGAAGGTGAGCTCAGACAACCTGGGCAAGTCTTTGTCCTCCAGCTCCTTTGGCTCCAGCACCGCAAACTGGACCTCCAAGGCTAAAGCTACACTCAACCCCTTCACCAAACGACACAGTAACACAGGTGAGACACACACACACACACACACACACACACACACACAAAACGAGATGAATTTTTTTTAAAACAATCATCTCACAAGACAGAGGAAATAATTCTTTAAAAAAAGACAAATGTGAGTGAGATGGAGAAAAACACAAAGATTAAAAGAAAAAAAACATCCAGTGTGGAAAATATGATTAGTCTGAAAAGAAAAACATGAAACTTTTGTTTGATTTGTAGCTGAGGGTTTTCTCACAGCAGCAGCTTTCACCTTGTTCAGGCAGCTTGTATCCTGTTCATTTCTCTTTGAGAAAACACCGCAGGACTTGGGCTTTTTGTTTTATCATCACTGTAATAATACATGTTCCTCAAAGTAAGCATCTTTCTGTTTCGTCCATGAGTAGATAAATCAACCTGTTTCTGTGGTCTGCGTCCAGCAAGATTATACTCTTTAAATGTAGATTTAAAAAAAAGAAAACCCTCTGGTGTGTAATAGTCACGATTACATGCAGACTCAAACTATTCTGTCCTGAAACTAACACCGTCACTGATTTCATGGTAAAAGTTTGTAGGTAAATTTGAAAAAAAAAGGAGAGTTATATTTTGTTTTTGTTCAGTAATGGTAACATTGTCCTCCCAAAGGACCCGTGAGAGGATCTGAGGAGACATTAAAAGGGTTGGAGGTCAAACTGAAAATGAACTAACCTGAACTGTTGCTATTAATCACAATACATTAATGTATAAATAAAATAAAGCAGACTGGTCACTCTCTTATGAAGTTACACCTTGCAATAAATTAACTTTAGTACTTCTATAAAACGTCATTGAATGGGTGTAGTGTTTTACATACTGTAGATCCACATGTAGTCTTCGCAGCTCCACGTGAACAGCTGGGAGTGAAATGCAACCTTTAACTGCACTGTGGGAGGAGGGTATCATCTGTTTTTCATAGACTAGACAAGTTCACAAAACATCTTGTTTCTTATTGCCTTCCAAAATGAAACGGCCAAAAGGAAGTATAGGGCTAAAACTAATGATCCATTAATCTGCCTATATTTCCCTCAATCAAATAGTTTGGCCGATAAATCACCAGAGAACTGTGAAAAATGTCCAAGAGCCAAAGGTGAAATCGTCGAATGTCAATGTTTAAGACTGAATTTACTGTAATGTAAGACCAGGGAAACCAGAAAATGTTCAATTATGAGAACCTGGAACATTTTTGCCAACAGTTTTTTATCATAAACAGCTGCTGATAAATTTTCTTCCGATCGCCCCTAACTGACGAATTAACTGATTGTTGCAGCTCTAGCTGTAAAGCAGAAGTTTTGCGACGTAATGCAAACATTATTGTGAGGGGAGCACAATGAAAATTGTCACACTAACATGTAAGCTGTTAGCCCTCTGTAGCTTTTCTCAAGTTCCGCCGTTTTGGTGAAGCTTTGTTTAGGTTTAGTGAGGCACAAAAAAAGGACAAAGTCAAAGGACTTGGTTAGAAAAATATCACAGTGTGGGTTAAGATATGTCATGGTTAGAAAATGATTCGGATCATGGTGGTTAACAGACAGCTCCTCCCTAAGAGGTTCTGCAGCTCTACAACAACGTCATAAAGCATCTGAACAAAATGACTGATCTCATCATGTTTCTTGGGAGGACGGTGTGTGAACCTGCAACTTTCCAGCTACCGACCAGCTGCTTTTCTCCTCTTGTTGTTTTCTGCATTGAACTAAAGAATGAGTCTGCATGTAAACATGATTCCTGTACAAGTTTCTTACCATTTTATTGAATGTGATTATTTCAGGTTTGTCTCTGTCACTGGGGAAGGCTGAGTAATGTCCTCTCACGTGATGTTTATTGATGTATCTACCTCTGTGTTTGGTGTGTAGAAAGCTCTTCCCAGCAATAGCAGGAGTGGAGGAATCGACGGAGGTAAAGCTAAAGCTGATTGGCTGATTGACTCCCTGCTTCCAGCATCATGTGATCCGCTCAGTGTTTCCCAAAATGCTTGTGGGTCAAAGTGGATCTGGAAGTTAAAGTTCCAACATTTTAATGCTCAATTTTGATTGAGCAAGAAAAACAAAACAAAATGAAATCTCAAATGTTTCGGGCTTTGCGTAGCAGACATTTTGGGAAAGCAGCCACTGTGTGTTGTGATTGGCTGGTCACTGTGATGTCATACACATTCATGCCATCTTGTTCCCAGCCTGAGACACACTGAGTGGGAGGAGGTCCATTTCACCCCCAGTTTCACAACTGCACCCACCCAGAGTGCCCCAGGGTGCAGAAACAAGCACGCCCCACCAGGCTGCATCCAAGCTAACATCTGCCTCATTTAACTGTGATTTGTCTGGAGTTTTAATAAGAGCCGAGTAACAACAGGCTAACGCTGTGGTTCTCATTAAAGTCAGCGACTGATGTAATAATTTGGGTTTGCTCATTACAATGAACACCAAATGTTGAGGACGCTATTGGCATGACGTCAGACATTGTGTTCAGAGTCCAAATATTACATGATTTAATAAATTCCCAATGAGACTAACTGAACCTCTCTCTCTCTGGGTGTAGATAGATGAAATATCTGTTCTCTTAACTACAGAAGCAACATCCAGCTCTTTTTAAACCCTTATTCCAGAAAAGAACTGTGGGTACATTTGTTTTATGTATCCCAAAACCATTACTGAAGGTCAGAGGAACTGATCCATGCAGGAAAATAATGATCTTTCGGCAGGTAGAACAAATCGATTTTAGGGTGTTATCTTTGAAGAGGAAGAAGAGGAAGAATCCTTTATTCTTCCTATCGTCCACATTTTTTTTCTTGTCAGTCCAGGTAATCAAACTGACGACCTCAATCAGTCCCAAGTCGCTTCTTACTTTTAGTGTCTAATACTGTTTTATTTTTTTTATAGTTATAGAGTCAATAATAGGACAGAAACAGAACCAGTCAAAAGTCAAAAGAACACCACCCTTTTTCCAGTTTTTATTGGAATTTCAGCAGCTCATGTCCAGTAAAAAACCTTAAAAAGTACAAAGGTGAGCAGTAAACTGACCAAGGTACAAAAATACAAAAAAAGTTTAGGTCACAAAAACTGAATAATCATGTAAATGTCATAAAAATCTTCCAGCTTTCCTGCCTTGAAAGTTAAAGCTCCATATTTTACACTTCTTCCTCGTTTTATTTGAAGTGTTGATCCATAAGAAGATGTATTTGTGGTTTTAAGAACCAAAAAACCATCCCAACGTAGTGTCACATCTCCTCTCTCAGGCTTCTCTCTGGAGCTCTAGTAACAACAGGTTGGTGAGCCAATCGGAAGAGATGAGGCTCTGAGTCTCTCTTCTGATTGGCTGACTGTTTTCTGAGTGATCAAATAAAAATACAGCAGATTTCAGGCAAACACCTGAAAACCAAATCGTGCAAGGTTGGGTGGTGGGTCCAGGTGGGCGGGGCTTGGGGCATTGCTGAGAGCAGTGACTGCTTTGTTGTGAGATCACAAAGTTCCAGAAGTCCTGACGGCTGGTTTTAAGGCTCAGTTTCTGAATACAGGCTGTGTGCATTTCTCTGTGGACTGAGACTTTCATACTTTCACAGTATTACTATAGAACCTAGACCTGATCTATAATCACACTACACATGGACAGAGACTTTTATACTGTATGGACCTTTAATGCAAAAAAGTCCTTCAGGTTGGAGACTTAAAAACCCTCTGTCTGTACAAACTACACTCTCTGATGTATTTGTAGGACAATACTGTACTACAGGAGGTAGGACTGTATGTTGCTGTCAGAATGGTGAAAAAATGATGGAAGAGCAGCGTGTCTGATTACCACTGTGCAAGGAACGTCATGAGTGAGTTCAGCTGCTCCTTGTTTTTAAAATATCCAATTGTTTATTTATTATTATGTCAATTTGGCAGCTGAAAAATTTCTGTGTTCTGTGTTCCTTTGACTGGTGTCTAAATTTGAAAAGCCAAGAATTTATATTCTCTTTATTTCCACGCCAGGCAGACCTGCTCTGTAAATCACGACCTCTCCTCCTCTGAGAAAAAATCAAAAAGGAGACATTTATAGTTTAGAACTTCTCACTCCATTAGTTTATAATAATCAGATTCTTCTGACTGCATAGATATTCTCTCTGACACATATCTCTCTTTGTATGTAAATGTAGGCATGACTGTTTTATTTATGTGTGCAAAGGTTTTCCTTTAATACATCTTTTGGCCCCTGACACTGGAAGTTGTGTGATGCTTTTGATTTACCACTCCAGGTGTTTCACAGCATTCCGTTCACACCTAGAAGAACCGAATGAAACAGGCTGTAAACATGTTTATTTCTGCTGTAAAGTTGGACATTTTAAGATGGGAGTCTATGGGGACTGACTCACTGCTGGAGCCAGACTCTAGTGGTCATTAGAGGAACTGCAGGTTTTGGCACCCTGGTGTTGGCTTCATTTTTCAGCCCAGAGGTTGCCGCTTGGTCTTTAAAGGACATTTCTAAAGTTTTATTGAATGTTTAATGGTAGTTACTAAGAATTCTAGGAAGGACATTCACACTAAAATCGTTGTGGATTTACAAATAGTTGGTACTTTTTGCACCACTTGCGCTGAAAAGTGTAACATGAGTTTGGCTAGTTTCAGCTGTAGCACATTCAAAGGTCATTTCACTCAGATTAGATGCTTTAAATGGTCGTTTCTGTCTCTCCATGGCTTGTATGGGCCCCTCCCCTGGCTCACATTGTCAATCAAACACATGCACCAGTCACTCACTAGAGAATTTGAGCATGAAAGAGTATTTCAGATACCCAATACCTTCTTTTTTTTTCCCCTTCTCTCGCTTATAAAACAATATTAACAATTCCTTAAAAGTCCCCTTGACATGATTTTGAGTGAAAGGAATGACTAATTGTAATTTCAGCTGGACTTCAGCTGTGCATAAATGATGCAGGCCTATTATCTGTCTTTAGTGTTAGGGGAAAATCCATCTTGATCTAATTTTCTGTGAGGGTTTCCGCATAAGAAAGGAAGAACTGA